ACTCACCCTGCCGTGCCATATACCGGAGGAGGAAAGGGAGGAAGGGAGAATGAGCGGTGGAGAGGGTAAGAGGTGGATCGCTTCCAGCAAGGTTCGTTTACACGCGTCGATGTTTCGTTTCGCACGTGTGCGATGCGTTTACGTATAGATGCGCCCAAAGAGCAGGACGGTGCGCACATATACCCGTAAACGTATAATGTATAGATATTATATAAAGGAAGAGAGAGATGAATATATACACACACCGGTGTGAATAAAGCCACACATCGTGTTATATATATATACCGTGTACACCGTATACCGTATACGCCGTCACCCAATAAGGGGAATGAGGAAAAGCCACGATGACGATACGATTGACGCGCGAGAGCCAAATCCAATCGTCAGATAAATCGTTACAGACGTTAGAGATGTTAGAGCATAGATTATATATATTATATTATATATATATATATGTAGAATTTTTTTTAGTTAGTTTAAGTGTACAAAATGTAAAAGAACGGTTCATGGGCAGAGAGTTACAATTAGCACACTCACGTTCAGTAAGGACAGAGCGACACAAGTAGAGAGACACACATATAGACGATGATGCATGTGTACAGCAAACGTGTGTACGTATCGTATGTAAGAAAAAAAAAACGCGTACACACACGTGCATACACACACACACAACGTACGTAGAGAAATAGAAAAGAAGAACAATCAAGAAGGATAAGGAATACGCGTATAATACAAACATCATGTACATGGATGCACATCGAACGCATATATATATATATGTGTGTGTATGGGCACGAGCATCGATTCCATCCGTACAAAATATATAAAGGATAGAAAATATATAAAGAACAGGGAAAAAAAGAAAAAGGAAAGAAAGCGTCGTCGTTTTATTCGCGATGTCGCATCGTATATATATATATCAGGGGAATCATAATAGCAGTAGCAGTAGCGGTAATGTAGTAATAATAATAGTAGTAATAGTGGTAGTAGTAGGCGTATACAAACGAGGGGAGGGGGGGAAAAAAGCGAAAATAACCAAAAAGTGTAAAGTGGGTTATGTGTAATAGTAATAAATAGGCGAAAGAACGTAATAAAGGGATGATGAAGAAGAAAGAAACGCGAGTACAATCGGGAGAGAAAAAAAAATAGGATGGAAGGGAGATAAAGGGAGGGAGACGAGGGGGAGGTGGGGGATCGAGGGAGAAAAAAAAAAAAGTGACGAATTAGACGCGAACGAAAAGATCGATCCAGGGATTGTGTGATCTGGGGAGGACTCACCCGTCGAGCTTTGCTTTGATACTTGAGCGCTTTTTTGGTGTCCTGCGTAGCCGTCTGCACGTAGTCCACCGCGTGTTCCACATGGTATTCTATGCGATCTATCATCTCGCCCTAGGAGTGGGCAACGTAGCCGCGATCCACACAGCGTAACAAGGGGGGAGGGGGGAAGAGAGAGAGAGCGATTGTTAGTTTTTGTTTTAGTTTTTTCAAGCCGTGTTCGAATTCGAATAGTTTCCCCTCATGCTTCGCTTATACGCGAAAGGGAAAGAGAAAGACAAAGAAAGAGAAGGTGATACGAATTCCTTCTTTTCAACAAGCCTCTTCCAATCTCGATTATTTATCCTCAAAAAAAAAAAAAAAAGGAAAGAGAGAAGAAAGAAGAAAGAAAGAAAGAAAGAAAGAAAAAAAGAGATAAAAAATACACTACGTTAATAATTATATATTAATAATTATATACGTCTCGTGTTAATATCAATTGTTATCGTTATTCATTTTTAATGGTTTATTCGCGTGTAATCATGCATTTTCTAATCGACAGATCAGAGAATTATTACGAAAATTTACTTTCCCCACAAACCATGAACACTGTTACCATAGGATTCGAAAAGGAAGAGCCCGTCACACACGCGAAGAGAGAAGTGGTTACACTGGTTCGCGCTACGCCCCTCTCAAAATTTGTCCTTTTCTTTCTCTTTTCCATCCATTTTTTTTCTTCTTTTTTTTTTTACAATTAACAATCGTAACAAAATATTCGACAAAAATAAATAAATAAATATCTTCTAAATTAAATAATCCATTTAAAAATAATAATAATCGAGAGACTATAAAAATTATATCGCGTTATAAAATTAATAATCGTAAGAACGAAAAAAAAAAAATAAATAAATAAAAGAAGCAAAGTCGAAGGGTGAAACTTGGGGTTCTATTGTATATAAAAAAAAAAAAAAAAAAAAAAAAAAAAGCGAAATGAGAAGGGGAAAGTTGGGGTTTTATTTTGAAAAAAAAAAAAAAAAAAAAAAAGAAAGAAAGGTACACGATCGATCTTACCTGACTTTCCACCAACATCGCCATATCCATGAACATATCGTGAAGCTCCCTGATGGAGTTTTCTAGTTTAATGATGTCTGCGTGGCGTGCCTCGATATCGGCGAGAGTCTGTTTCGCTTGTTGCGTTTCCATGATAATCTGCGAGAAACGCGTCTCGATACAGCACCATGTTTTTCGATGCACCAGAAACGTAGAAACGTAGAAACTCTTACCCCCTGCGTGAACACAGCCGGATTCCCCTGTTCCAGCATTTCCTCCAGCTCCTCGTTAGTGGTCGTCCTACCGGCTGAACGCGGAAACCAATTTTTTCAGCTTATAACGCGCCATTTTTTTTTCGAAATGTCGAAAAAAATGTACGAAACAAAAAAAAAAAAAAAAAAAAAAAGAAAAAGAAAATTACGATCAACAATGATCCTAGCTTACTGATTTCCAACTGTCGTTGTATCCTTCCCTTACACCGCTCTCTGTAATCGGTCTGGGTCCGATTGTACTCCGTCATCACCTCGACGAACTTCCTCGAAAGAGTCGAGTGCTGTGTCTTCCGTATCCTAAGATCCGCCGATGATTTGTTCGTGTGCTCCTCCTGCTCGATATTTTGCTCTATAACTGAACATCCAAAAATCGTGAGATCTCGCTTTTCTCCTCGATATTCTCCTCCTCCTCGATCGATCTTTACTTACCCTTCAATTTAGCCCTCACTTTATTCGCCGTTTTCTTGATATCGGACATCAGGTCTTCCAATTCCATTTTAACCTCTGCAACGAAGAAATAAGAAGAAGAAGAAAAAAAAATTAATCCATCCATTTCCTCTTATTCTCCCTCCCCTCGATATACATCTCTCCCCTCTTTCCACGATTTCGCTCAATTATTTAACTCTCGATGGAGAGCGTGTGAAAGAGAGAGAGAGAGAGATCTTTAAGCGAACTTCTTCACTTCCCCCTCCCTCCTTTTCCCATGATTTCGCTTAATTCAATTTACGAACGAACTTTTCTGTGTGAAGAAAAATGAAGAAGAATTTCGAACTGTGTTTGTCCGCGAGAAAAATGGAATACGCTCGATTGCCATTTCCCGCTGTCAACGGCACAGTCTTCCTCTTTCCATCCGTGACCCTATTATTCCCCCTCCCCCCCTCTTCCATGATCAATTTCATCAATCGAGAGAGGAATCGTATTTCTATCTATCTATTTATCTATCTTCTTGTTGAGTTCACGGATTCTCTCTCGAGAGAGAGAGAAAGAGAGAGAGAGAGAGAGCGTATGTATTTCTTTCCTCGATCGAATTCGAATTCGCCGGCCGGGCGCGTGTTTTATCGCCGATGCGAAGGCCGCGCGCATTCTCCTGCGTCGAGGGTGCTCGATGGAATTGGGTTAATACGGGGTGGAAACGTGCCAGACCTACTTCTCAAACCTCTCGAGAACTCGGCACGCCCGGGAGACACGGGACGCTCGAATTCGATCGAATGGCACGCGCGTTTCCTCCTATCGTTCTTCTAAAAAGAAGAAGAAAAGAAAAAAAAAAAAAAAAAAAGAAACGAGAATTAAAATTTGACCGATCGAAGCGGCGAGGTTCGATCGTACCGAGCGATGGAAAAAGTTCCCTTCCTGATCGAACGCGCGCTTCCGCGCCACGAATCGATCCGCCGACCTATTTGTAGTATTCCGATAAATTCATTTTCACGTATATATTC